GAAAGTCTTTGTCTATCTAGTCAGTCCAGTGTCTGAACCTCCTCAGTGACAGTTTGTTCATTTCCTTTTTTTCCTGTGAATGGACCATACTTTCTTGTATTTTTGCATGCCTCATAATTTTTTGTTGAAAACTAGACATTTTAAATATTTGAATATGGTAACTCTAGAAATGAGATTATTCCATCTTCCCAGGATTTGTCGTTGCTGCTTGTTGTGAGTTGTTGTTTAGTGACTTTTCTAAACCTTTTTTGGAAATATTATGTTTTTTGTTGTTTGTAGTCACTGAAGTCTCCATTCCCTTAGCTTAGTGGTCAGCTAGTGATTTGTCAGAGATTTCCTTAAATGCCTGGAGCAAAACAAAACATTAAACTCTGTAGGTGTATGTTAGGATATGCCTTCAGCTCTCAGCCAGGCAGTTCATAACTGCCTTTGCCTTCCCATCCTGCTTGTTTGGAGCTTTTCAGCAAGCAGTTTGTTTGCCCCAACTGATTTCCTGTGCTCCATGCTGCATCTGCTGGTTCATTACCTTTCAATGTTTTTAACAGATAACCTCCAAGTAGCTACTTTTCCACCCTGAGAGAGTTCCGAATCAGGTGAAATAAAGGCAAGCCTTTTACATTAGTCCTTCAGAGAGCCACTCACCAGGTCAAAACAAAACAATTCTTTGAGAGCAGAGTCTACTCTGTTATCTCTAGCACCAGTAACCCACTCTGGGAATTACTGCCACCGAGCCAGGGAGAAGGGAATGGGGCAAGGGTAAATTAAAATACACCAACTTCTCCTATCACATTTCACTTGCTCTTGCCTTGATTAAACATTCTCTTGATTGGTGAAAACCCTCGACTGTTTTCCAGATTTTTGATAAAGTTGATTGTGACACATTTTGCCAGCTTTTTTCTGTGGAGGGATGGGCCTTTGGAATCTCCTATGCCACCATTTTTGATGCTGTCACTCCTATGCATGCTATTTTTAAGATAGGGTGATTATATTTAAAGATTGTATGTACAAGGTATTTAAGAGTAAGAGACACATGAATTTGAAGTAGACATGGAACCTGTTAATGAACATGTGGAGGAAGGGAAAATTGAGCTTAAAAAAAAAAAAAAACAAATAGGCCAGATGCTGTGGTTCACGCCTGTAATCCCAGCACTTTGGTAGTCCGAGGTGGGCGGATCACGAGGTCAAGAGATCGAGATCATTCTGGCTAACGTGGTGAAACCCTGTCTCTTCTAAAAATACAAAAATTAGCCAGGCGTGGTGGTGCGTGCCTGTAGTCCCAGCAACTCGGGAGGCTGAGGCAGGAGAATCGCTTGAACCCGGGAGGCGGAGGTTGCAATGAGCTGAGATCGCACCACTACACGCCCTGCTGGCGACAGAGGGAGACTCTGTCTCAAAAAAAAGAAGAAAAAAAAAAAACCCACAAAGTTAAACAAAAATCTTTGCAGCTAGAGTTGCATTTAATTAGTAAATGTTTTAGATTCAATTGAGACTTTCATACCTCTTTTTTCCTAATGACATTGAATTACTTAGAGCATTTCTGACAATTTTAATTAAAAGGGATTTTAATTAAATGCAGTATTTAGTTATTGCAAAAGCAGCAAAGCTGATGGAAAATATGTAACAAAGTTTGAGATTCCTTTTCTTAGGACTAGAACCAGATGTTACTGAATTAACAGAAGCACACAAAATACAGGGATCTCATTTTTTTTAAAGCAAAAGTGGTTTAGGTATATTTGCTATTGTCAAACTAAATATTAAAAATTATATTTTTGTACCACAATGATAAGAAATTATGTGAAGATTTAAAATGTTTAAAGTATTCTAATTATAGTTTTGAATTGCCTGTCTTGAGTCTTACTCAGATTAACTACAGAAGTCAGCCACGTATCATCTCTATAGTTTCTTATATTAATATTTTTGCCTAATCCATCCTCTATTTCTTGTCGCCTTTTGACAGTATGATCTCTGAAGTCTTTTTAAGTTAACGTGTATGTTGGCTGTAGTCTAAATTATGGGAATTTTGAAGCAGGAGATATGTTTTCTGTTAGACTTTAATCTTGCACTTTTTCATGTTACAGAGAATAATTTTGACACTGCACTTTTAATAAGGCCATCTCATTTGTAGAAATAATGTACATCCTAATTTTCACCATTTCAACAGTCAGTACTTTGTCTTTATGTTATCTTTGTTTCAGTTTTTCTTTGTCTTATATTCAAATAAATCTAATCTGTTATTTCTTATGTAACATTAAGTTTTATTCAAGTTCCATCCATACTTCTGATCTTCTGTTTTCTGTATAGAATGACTTCAAATGTAAATTTTCTTAAGTCCAAGCTTACTCACTATAAGTAGGCCCAAGTCTGAGAGTACTTCATTATGTTTTCTGGTATAATTGGGTCTGAGCAGATTTAAACATATTAAGTACATATTTTGATGAATATTATTTCTTCCTTTATTTCTATTTATATGTGTAGAAATATTACCTATGAATTTTGCTTTAGAATAGTAACGGGATCTTTACAAAATATGTTCTGAAGTGGGGGGTGGTGTTGGGTTGGGTCTGATAGTGTTGAGAAATTTATTCTAAACAAATTAGTGCAATGATGTCTTCCAGGCATTGTACTAGAACTGTGCAGGACCCAGTGGGAGCCTGTAGCAAGGCAGGGTCCATACAGGCAGGAAGTGAGGTATGTGTTAACTGAGATCATGGAAACATGAGACTACCCAGGAAAAGTTTGAGCTAATTTTGAAGAACTTCCTGTGTGTTTCTCTCTTCTAAACTGAATGTTCCTTGAGGGGCAGGGACCATTTTTACTTATTATAAGTACCTACTGCTCAGCTGTATTAGTCTGTTCTCACACTGCTGTAAAGAAATATCAGAGACTGAGTAATTTATAAAGAAAAGAGGTTTAATTGGCTCACAGTTCTGCAGGCTGTACAGGAAGTGTGATGCTGGCATCTGCTTAGCTTCTTGGGAGGCCTCAGGAAACTTATAGTCATGGCAGAAGGCAAAGGCAGAGCTAGCACCTCACATGGATGGAACAGGAGGAAGCTGCTTTGGGGGTGAGGTGCCACACACTTTTAAACAACCAGCTCTCACGAGAACTCACTCACTATCATAACACAGTACCAAGGGGGAGATCTCCCCATGATCCAGTCACCTCCCACCAGGCCCCACCTCTAACATTGGGATTACGATTCGACATGAGATTGGGTGGGGACACAGATCCAAACCATATCATAAGCCTAGCCCATGGAAGATATATCATAAATGTTCGTTGAATGGATAGCTCCTACACAAGTGTGCAAGCTTGAAGAGAGAGTAAGTGTGGGCCTGGCTAGAATCCATATTGCCACAGGAGAACCAAAGGATGAATTATTTATTTGCCATACCACAGAGAAAATTTAACAATTGTTATGCCCCTGCGTACTTTTGGAGAATCTCCTCAAATCGTAAATAATAGAAATTATGATATTCCAAGGCAAGGGTCCTTAGGACCCTCCTGTGAAGTTGTATAGGAAAAAAAGTACATTTTTATTTTTACTAGCCTCAAACTGAAATTTAGCATTTCCTTCCATTTTGAATGAAGGTAATAGTGGTGATGTTATCAGTATCACTAACTTTCTTTCTGTTACTTAAAGCCACAGATATTTTCATTTTCTGTTGTTGTAGATACCTCACACTGTTTACACTCATTGTTTTTATATTATGGTAATCATTATGCCATCAATTTTATTTAAATTATCAATAAAGAAGCACATGTATTACCTATCACAATTTTCTACTTACATTTTAAATTTTATTTTAAAACATTCTGAAATTTTAGAATAAGCAAAACTAATATATAGTGATTAAAATCAGATAAATGGTTGCTTCTTATGGAGAAAACTGATGGGGAATGGGGCACAAGAGAACTTTCTGGGGTGATGAAAATGTCCTGTGTCTTGGTATACACTTGTCAATTGAATGCTGAACTTACTGTCTATACATTTCACTGTATATAAATTATACCTCAATTTAAAAAACACATTAAAAAATTTTTCTGAGAAGGTGTTCATAGGTTTCACCAAATGGCCAAGGAAATTTCTGATACCAAAAAAAAAAATCCTTTTCTGAGATTATCCTGTTTCCATTGTCTGTCTCCTTTGAGTGCCCTCTTTCAGTAAGCTGTTTTTGTGGTTCATTTCCATTTCTCTGAATGTGTTCTCACTTTTTAAAGATGAACCTAAGACAAGTCAGAAAAGAAAAAGAGCAGTTATGAAAGAAATATTTTGCCTGGCTTATTGACCATTCTCTTCTAGCCCGTAACTGTGACCCTCCTGACGTAGTTATATACTTACTTTGACTCTAATAAATTTCTAATGAGAACTACTCTTCTAAAAACTAATTCATAGATCATTTCATAATGGAATGATTTTTTCTTATTTTCAGTTTTGTTTGGAGTTTTAGTAACATTTTTATCCTTCTGTATCATTGAATATGCAGTTCTCTTATGGAATAACTATAAACATTTATAACAAAGATTGGAAGAAGAAAATATGTATTAGGAAGTAAGGAAAGAGAAAGTAATATTACTGATAATCTGTTCCAGATTAATCCCATCTAGGCATGATCTCAATGCAGTGTGATTGTATATTCTAAGATCAAATATATGTTACTTTTATAAAATTCAGAGTAATATAAAAAGTATTAGGTTATATTTATTTTAAAATGTGATGATAGTGCTCAAAGATGTTAAACATAGTGGTAGGTAATGTACAGAATGAATATTGAACTCTCTTTTAGGGGCACACAGTGTTATGACTACTCACAATAGAATTTTGTCTACCATCTTATGCTTATAACTTTTAGTTTTACTCTATTATAATGGTCTCACTCTAAGAAAGATTAAGCTGAGGTGAATCATCCTAGCAGATTTTTGTCCAGATAGCATCTATATGCCTTTCATGATTTGCTATTAGATAAAAACCTAAAATACTGTTTGACAATTTTTTGCAGCCCCTCATATGGAAAATTTGAAATGCAGAGGGGAAACAGTAGCAAAGGAGATCAATGAAGCCATGAAGGTAAAAGCTATGTGCTAAAAAATTATAAAATGAACAAAATGTATGGCTAGGTATTTGCATTCAACATTCATGTTTTTTAATCTGCTGTAACAGGGATTCTCAGCGGTCTTTTAAATCTTTAATGAATGTATTAAGCAACAGTAACACTCCGAATAGCTACCATTTATCAGGTGCCTACTATGTGCCAGGTAATATTCCTGACTTCTTTAAAGGTTGATTATATTTTTGTGTTCTGGGTGTTAGCAATTCACTGAACAGTTTTGGATAATAATACCAGCTAAAATGTATTGAATAATTGGTATGGGCTCCATCCAACTGCTTTACATGTATTGCCTCATGTAATCCTTACATCCTGTGAGACAGATACTGCTATTTCTTCTGTAGATGAGGAAGCTGAGGCACAGAAAGGCTAAGCAGGTTGCCCACATAAGTAACCTACGATCCAGCATTTAAAGCCTAGTTCGGCAAGGGCACAGTGGCTTATGCCTGTAATCCAAGCACTTTGGGAGGCCAAGACAGTCAGAACACCTGAGGTCAGGAGTTCAAGACCAGCCTGGCCAATATGGTGAAAGTCCACATCTACTAAAAATACAAAAATTAGCCAAGTGTGGTGGTGCACACCTGTAGTCTCAACTACTTGGGAGGCTGAGGCAGGTGAATCGCATGAACCTGGGAGGTGGAGATTGCAGTGAGCTGAGATCACACCACTGCCCTCCAGCCTGGGCAACAAAGCAAGACTTCTCAAAAAAAAAAAAAAATTAGAGTATTGTGTCCATCTTTGTCTGTGTTTCAGCCTGAGATTAATGTTGAATATTACTGTTTGTTTGTTTGTTTGAAGTCCTTGCCTGCATTAATTGAACAAGGAGAGGGATTTTCCCAAGTTCTCAGGATGCAGCCTGTTATCCACCTCCAGAGGATTCACCAAGAAGTCTTTTCCGGTTGTTACAGGAAACCAGATGCTAAACCTGAGAATTTTATAACACAGATAGAAACCACACCAACAGAGACTGCTTCCAGGAAAACCTCTGATGTGGTACTGAAAAGAAAGCAAACTAAAGACTGCCCCCAGAGAAAATGGTATCCATTGCGGCCAAAGAAAATTAATCTTGATACATGAGCTCTTTCTGTTTATTTTGGGAGTTGAAAATAGGCGCCGTCAACATTTAGATTACAGCCTAATTAATACCTAGATAAGACTTCATTTGAAACAAGAAATAACTCTTTTACTAGTGATTCATTTATACAAGTACAGTGTCTCTGTGTGGGGATATGATATAATATTGTATTTCCTTGCTGTTTTATCTATTGTAAATAAAAAGCATTTTAAAAAATATTGACACAAAGCCCATCAGTGGGTATTAAAAATATTAAAAGTGCAGCCTTTTACTGTCCTTAAGTGCTATCAACTCTCAGCTCCCTTGTAGCTTTTGTGGGATTTAACAAGTAACAAATTCTGTTGTGTTTCCCTGGTATACATCTTTCCAGGAAAAAAAAAAAAGAGAGAGAGAGCTGTATAATGATTTTTCATTTACATGCTGAAAAGTAGTTATCAGTTCTGCGCAGCAGCAGATGCAGCATTTTTTTTTAAAGATGTAGTGTGATTTGTCAAATTAATGTGCAGATGATAATACTGGCTTTGACTTTGTTACTCCATGTTCAGCTCATTTAGGTTTGTGAGATTAATTTTAGGACTTTTTGTTGTGTAAGACAATGATGACTATTATTTGTGCAACATTACTCTTTGAAATAAAAATTGGCATGTAGCCAATGTTTCCTGCCCACACTTTTTTCTATAGACCATTAACATAATTTGACTTGGAACTAATGATTTCTTTTTAGGGTTTCTTATTTCTTTCTTTATAGATCATTCCAGTTCAAAATATATATCAGATTAATACACTGGCAAAGTATCATTGTGTTATTGAACTATTTTACATTTGAAGATGTTTATATATCAGGTATATAATCACTGGGAGAAGTCTGAGAAAGCGATATTGCCTTTATTTCTAACATTTAACTGTAGTTTCTTATAGCTCTTATTGTGTGTCTTACATTATACAGTGTAGGCAGGGCCATCAAACCTACCAACTGTTTCCCCTTTTGATGACTCTGATACCTTCATTCATTTTTCAAATGAATTTACTGATCATGAGGTTGGAAAATCTGGATTTCTCTTGCTTATTCTATGTTAATAATCATAAATGTCTCGATTCACCAGAAGTCACCAGAAGGTGTGTCTCGGCGAAGAAAACTTACAAAGCCACTTTACTGCATTTTGTGTTTCAGTGTTACCATTTGAGATCTGTATATTTGTACATAGCCACGTGCTTTTCATTAAAATAATGTACAAAGACTGATCTTGATGCTGTGTATTTTTGTGAGTTGTCTTAGGCATTCCTGAGCTCAGCTTCAGTTGGAGGGTGGGTCAGCACCCTGCATTTCTGAACATACTAGACTGCAGTTAAAACTGCATAATATGTTGCTATTCTTACAGTGCTAACGTTTTTATGGTATTAAAATTCTGTATGATTTGTTTCACTTCAGAGGTCCCCAAACAAAAGAATTATTGTTAATTCTATTATATGAGCTAATTGCATTTTGATTATGTAAGAACATGGTCCCTCCTCCCTTTTAAGTGAGGTATATTGTGCTACATAGAGTTTTTAAATGATGTGATAGATTTGCTCTGAAATATTCAGCAGAGAAACAAGAAAAGGAATCAATTAAGGAAATGTGACAAAAATCCTGTATGTTGAATCTGTGTAATGAATATATTCTACTTTGTGTTGGAAATTTTTATAATTTTTTTAAAAATGGTTATATTTTAAAGTCCCCAGGCAGACAGCTGAGATTTGAAATCCTCTTGAGAGCCCAAGGTTTTACTCCACAGTTATAGCAGAGTTTAAAATAGAAATACCACTGGGAAAGACAGTACATATTAGCATTATTGACTAAGAAAAGCATGAACAGTAGCAGTAATAATATTGAATAAGTATACTGTGTAAGAGGAGAAGTTGCATTTCTGCATAGGCCAAGAACTAGTAAGCTAAGAGGATTAAAAGCAAGAAAGTCTGTAGTTTTAGGGAACTGGAAAGGTTGAAGGAGAAAATTGAAAATCAAATCTTGATCTATGATAAAAAGAAGACTGGATTGAATAGGGTCTTAAAATTCTCTTTCAGAAAAGAAATAGCCAGGTGCGGTGGCCTTATTCCTGTAATCCCAGCACTCTCAGAGCCTGAGGTGGGCAGATTACTTGAGCCCAACTGGGCAACATAGTGAAACTCCATTTCTACAAAAAATACAAAAATTAGCAGGGTATGATGGCACACACCTATAGTCCCAGCCGCCCAGGAGGCTGAAATGAGAGGCTCACTTGAGCCCAGGAGGCAGAAGGTGCAGTGAGCCAAGATGGCACCACTGTACTCCAGCCTGGGTGACAGAGTGAGACCCTGTCTCAAAATAAGAAGAAGAAGAACACAAGAAGGTTAAATCTAGTCCCAAAGAATAGAGAACACTGTCAAAGCTGGTTTCTGAAAACTGGTACCAAAATCTACACTAGTTTATTTAGGCTACTATGACAGAATACCACAGGCTGGGTGGCTTAAACAACAGATACTTATTTCTCACAGTTCTGGAGGCTAGAAGTTCATGAGAAGGTGCTGGCAAATGCAGTTTCTGGTGAGGGCTCTCTTCCTGGCTTGTAGATGACCACCTCCTTACTATGTCCTCACATGGCCTTTCCTCAGTGTATGCATGTGGAGAGAGCCAGAGTACAAGCTCTCTGGTGTCTCTTCTTACAAGGACACTAATTCTATCAGATCAGAGCCCCACCCTTATGGCCTCATTTAACCTTAATTATTTCCTTAGAGGCCCCATCTCCAAATACAGCTACAGGCACATGGGAGTTAAGGCTCCAACATATGGATTTTGGGGGGACACAAACACAAGCCCACAGAAAATCTTATCCTAGACCTCTTTCTCTGGCCCTTTATGGCTTGGGCTCTGTAGAAGACAAAGTGAATAAAATCAAATTTTTTATTTGCTTCAAACAGTATGATTTTATCTTGTAAGATGTACTTTTTTTTTTCTAAGACTGAATTTGTTTGATTTCTATTGAACACCTATCTTCCCTATCCACCTTCGTTCATTTATTCATCTGTTCAACACATACAGTTGGACACCTGCTCAGATCAAAAGTCAGAGATCTTAAGAGCACAGCCTCTGAGCCAGATCATCTGGGTTCAGATTTCAGTTCTACCATTATTAGTTCAGTGACATTGGACAAGTTACTTAACCTGTCCATGATCAAAAGTCAGAGATCTTAAAGAGCATAGACTCTGAGCCAGATCATCTGCTTTCAGATTTCAGTTCTACCATTATTAGTTCAGTGACACTGGGCAAGTTACATAACCTGTCTGTGCTGCAGTTTTCTCATATGCAAAATGGAGATAATAATTATGCCTACCTCATAGTGTTATTCTGAGAAGTAAATGAGTTCATAATGTGAAGGCCTTAGACTAATAATTGGCACATATGAGTACTCTATGATCACTGTTATTCCTTCTTTTGATAAAGGAAATGAAAACACTCAGGGCAAGTGTTGTCTTCAGGAAGCTTATATTCCAGTGAAGAGGATGAGTGTGCAAACAATGATAATGCCATGCAGCAAATGGTATGATAGATGTATGTGTGGAACTTAGGGGAGAAGTCATGGAAGTCTTTGTAGAAGAGGTGCCATTTGAGCAGTCTTGAAATGTTTTAAGCAAATAATCAGGGAAGAAATATAGGAATAAAGAAGAACAAATTACTGTTATAACAATGTGGATCAATATCAAAGATACTATAGTGAATAAAAGAAGCAAAGTCAGGCACAAGAGAATACATACTGTGTATGGAATCATAGAATGGGCAAAACTAAGCCATGGTGGTTTCCTCTTGGGAGAGGGGAGATACTAACTAGGAATGGCATGGGAAACATTTTTGGGTCAGCCAAACGTTCTCTATCTTGATCTGAGTGGTGCTCACATGGCTGTATACATATGTAAAATTTTATTGAACTATACACTTAAAATTTCTGTACTTTATTTTATGTAAGTTTTATATTTTAAAAATGCACAAAATGGATTCACCAAATATTTGAGGAGAGTCTCCAGCATCAAAGACAGACCAAGAAACTGTGAGTCCCTTAATGGCAGGAATCTTTGTTCCATCCACCTGGAATAATTGCTGGCACATGATGGGCCCTGGATGCATAGTGGTTAACTAAGTGAATTAAAACAAAAACCAAAGAGAATAAAGGAACTCAAAGAAAACAGATACATACAAAGCAAAATCCCAGAATGATGACTGTACTCCCAGAAAGAAGAGAAAATCATACATTGTTTAGAAAACCAGAATGCTATTAAATAATGATCAGTAAATAAGAAAAAGTTTTTGAAAATTAAAAATATGAAAGTTGAAATAAAAATTCAGTGGGAGGGCTGGGAGAGGAAATGAAATTTTCCCAAAACTAAAACACAAAGATTAAGAAATGGCAAATTAGAAAAGTAAGAATAAAGATAAGAAGTTCATAAAGTTCAAAGTCTAACTGATACCCATTCCAGAGAGAGCATGCAGAAAAAGCAGCAGAGTCAAAATTATCAAAGAGATCATGCAGTTACCATATGGCCCAGCAATTCTCCAAGTTCTAAACCTAAGAGAATTGAAAACATGCTCACACAATAACTTACACACAAATGTTTGTAGCAGCAGGTTGAACGTTTATCAACTGATGAATGGATAAATAAAATGTGACTATCCACTCAATAGAATATTATCTGGCAATAAGGAGAAATGAGGTACTGGTAAATGCCACAGTGTAGATGAACCTTAAAACATGCCAAGTGAAAGAATCCTCTCACAGAAGACTGCTGTCTTTTGTAGACTCCATTTCAATGAACCGTCCAGAACAGGCAAATATACAGAAACAAAAACTAGATCTGTTGTTGCCTAAGGCTGGAAAGATGGAGAGGGTGGAAGGAATAGGACGTGACTGCTAATGGGTATGGGATTTTTTTTTTTTTTTTCCTGAGACAAGGTCTTGCTGTGTTGCCCAAGCTGTAGTACAGTGGTGCTATCTTGGCTTGCTGCAACCTCTGCCTCCCCGGCTCAAGCCATCCTCCCACCTTAGCCTCCCAAGTAGCTGGGACTACAGGCACGCACCATCATGCCTAGCTAATTTTTGTATCTTTTTGTAGAGATGAAGTTTCGCTATGTTGCTGGTCTCAAACTTGTAAGCTTAAGCAATCCACCCACCTCTGCCTCCCAAAGTGCTGGATTACAGGCGTGAGTCACTGTGCCTGGCCTGGGATGTCTTTTGAGGGTGATGAAAATCCTCTAAATTGATTATGGTGATTCATGACTGCTTGTTGAATATACTGAAAACCATTGAACAATACACTTTAAAAGGGTGAGTGAGATGGTAAAAAGAGAGTAAAGAAACAGAAATAATACAAGAAACATTCCCAGACCTGAGGAATACCAAGAGGAATTGGAATGGTATCAGATTACTAAACAACAATCCTAAAATCTAGAAGCATCTGGAGCAATATTCTCAGCATAAACGATTTACAACCTAAGATTTTATACACAAACTAATAATCAAGTGCATGATTAGCTAAAAGATACTCTCAGATATGCAAAGCATCAAAAAAAAAAAATTACCTTCAAGGCATCCCGTTTGGGGGTTCTACCAGGGGCTGTGCTCTATTACAAAGGGTAAGCCAAAAAAGAAGCAGCCATGGGATCTGGGAAACTAAGGCTCCCAAAACACAGCACACTCAAGTCTACAGGCTACTAACTAATCAGCAGATTTGGAGAATAGGCAGACCAGGTTGGAATAAGACTATGTAGGCCGAGTGCGGTGGCTTAAACGCCTGTAATTCCAGCACTTTGGGAGGCTGAGATGGGCAGATCACCTGAGGTTGGGAGTTCGACACCAGCCTGACCAAAAACTAAAAATACAAAATTAGCCAGGCGTGGTGGCACATGCCTGTAATTCCAGCTACTCCAGAGGCTGAGACTGGAGAATTGCTTGAACCCAGGAGGCAGAGGTTGCAGAGAGCCAAGATTGCGCCATCGCACTCCAGCCTGGACAACAAGAGCGAAACTCCGTCTTAAAAAAAAAAAGACTATGTAGGACTCTAAAAGAGATATTTTCAGAAAAAAATAAAAGTGACAACACCAGTGATAATGTTAACTATGAAGAAAATTGCATAGGCCAGGCGCGGTGGCTCACACCTGTAATCCCAGCACTTTGGGAGGCCGAGATGGGCGGATCACGAGGTCAGGAGATCGAGACCATCCTGGCTAACACGGT